TGGTGGAGTTCCAAAGGATTTGTAATAGACTGTGGTTGTGTAACAGCAGGAGTTTGACTTGCTGACCTGTCATCTCAAAGATATGAACATATTATATTTTGGAAATGTATATATTTTAAATAAGATATATGTATAATGCGGGGGAAGCATATATTTGTCCTAAATTATTCTGACCAAAATGGTTGATGTCCCACCAATACCACGTGGTAAGAAGAAACTGCAAAGGATAACTTTAAGAAGCAAAAGTCAACAAATCAGCTATACTCAGTGACCATAGTGAACCCACATTTCTTTATAAATCACTATAATTACTACTAACTCTTGAATGCTATAATTAACACATATTTCAAACCATAGTGAACCCACATTTCTTTATAAATCGCCTCCTACCCATGTGAAAATGGAAAGATGAATCTTTGCTACGGATTAAGTTTTTTTTTTTTTTTAAATAACCTTATAACTGAGATATGGTAACAGGATGAGATCTTACATATAACATGTAGAATTGCTCCTAACCAATAGTTGTCAACCATTCATTGCCTTCTGAATGAAAATAACAAAAAATATATATTAGAAATTCGTAAGTCAAGCCGATAATAAGAAGATGACAAAATACAGTTTATTTATTATATTTTTTTCCATACCCTTAGGCACTGTTGGCTGTTGTCACAGAAAAAAGTGTATTATGAAGAGCATGGTTAATAATTGTATGAAACTAAAATGATCTAAGATACTTCTAAACACTTGCTTGCTTAATTCTTGCAAATAATTGTCTAATAATGAATTTTTCTAGAATTATAAGGGTAGAATAGTTAGTCATTGAATCTAATTCAGATGATTTATTAGGAGAAGGTGATAGACGGAAACAGTACCTGTAATAGCTTCTGTTTCATATTTAGTTTCCACGCTCTTCTCCATAACATATCCAGGTGGTGCAACTATTTTCCTGCTAGTCAATTGTGTGTCAAAAAGAGTCATCAACACAAAGAAATTAACAATTAAAAATAACTAAAGGCTAAATTTTGAGAAAGACAAAGAGATGATTTACCTGTAAATTCAATCGCTTGTTTTTGGCTGGCATCAGGTAGAATCAAATGAATCTCATTAGATAGAAGATCCTAAAGCAAAGAAGTGAAAGCAACAGACATAGAAGCAACTATGATTAAAGATGTCAATAGTGAAGCGATATGTTAGATTCTAGAAAGATGTTTCTCTTTGTTTAAAAAAAATCGATATTCGAGCAGGGTAAATGTGGAATAGAAGGGAAAACCTATCGGTAAGAAAATAACAACAAAAATAACGGCGTATTTACCGTAAAAATATGGAAAATATGGTAGGATGATTCTCTTGAGCATTTCATCAAACATGTGGTATGGTATCTTTTCCTTTTTGGAGGAGGTATTCAATCGATCTACGCCTTGAACAAACAGAGCAATATTCGAAAAAGAAAGAAATTAATCAAGCACAGTAGTCAGTTGACGAAACAATGAACCTTGAGGAACAGAACAAACAAAATACAGAAGGTCTAGTTTTGAAGAACGCTTCCTCGAACTTGTTCTCCACCTGTGTATCAACATCATCGCTTTTGCGTTATAGGTTTCAATGGAAATTGGTGCAATCATTTAAAAAAAAAGCGGTGAAACATGAATTGATACCCAAACAGAAAGCTCAACTTTCACTTAAAGCCTTTATTGCCAAATTTATTTCAAATCAGCAAGCATATAAATTCATAACAAAGAAAGATCAATTTCAGTTGGATAGAATTAAATTAACTAACCTCAACCTCGTTCATAATCGGGATGAAAGAACAATTAGAAGACATCTGAGTGGAAGACAACATATCATTTTATATGTTTCATGTCGAAACATATCAACTTATCATTTTATATGCTTCATCTGGAAAGACAAATAACTCAATCGCCTCCAACCCGTTGACTGTAAACACACCCACTTTATCATGCGTAACATCATATATTGCCTGTAAATGTAATTTATAAATCAGGAATTTTATACCTTGGACGGCCTAGTAACCACAGACTTAATGGTGGATAGGAACTCCCAGCAGGTGGAATAGCCGGACTAAAGGTGTTCTTTGGTGTTCAGTACGCTTCCATCCCGTTATCGGTCCTATTTTACGAACATACACACACTCACTAAATGAGTTCAAATCAACAGGTAGTTCAAATCAGTTATGTACCTAGAGCAATAATCCCTAAATCGGTGGTTGCGGATCGATGGGAAATCGAAGGCGATAGACAAAATTTAACCAATTGTGTAATAGATGGAGGGAAAATTCATCTGATCATCTAAAAATAAAATGAAATTAAAAGTGAATATGAAGGTAAGGGCATAGAAAGAAACGAAAATAGGGTTGAAGTTCATTACCTGAACCGATTGCAGACGTGGGTCCTAGCTAGGGCTCGAATGCGTCAAGACGTCGGTGCTATCTAGTATTTGGAAGCGGTGACTGTGAAGATGAGTAATAGGCGTCCACCTCTTCAGTTGATTGGAAGCCATAAATGTCGTCGACGGTGGTGAAGACGGTAAGCACAAGTGTGGAGGAAGTAGTTTGGTTGTACCAAGAGATATCTTTGTACGTTTTTCTGGATGAGAAGAAAGGGGAGCAGAAGACGCATCACATCCAGAACGTATCACTTCCTGAAAGAGGCGGTGAGACAGCAGCGATGAACGTTACCAGAGGAAGGAAGAAAGGGAACGGAAGGTTTGGATGTTCATCTGAAATTTCGAAGATAAGGACGCAGTGGGGAAAATCCAGAAGCGTATAAACCCAAACGATGATCTGAGACGAAGAATCTAGATGCTCAGGTAAAACCAGAGATAACAAAAAAGCAAGAAGGAAAATATCTATGGAGGGACCAAACTGTAATTCACATTGACACACAAAGCAATATAGAGGGACCGAAAATGTAATTCAAGGGACGAAACATGGACAAAAGGGCGACGTTTACTGTTCTTTTTCTTCACAACTTTAATATATTTATAATAATGGACAACATATTTCTAAGGAATTAAATTTAAACCTCGGATGTTATCGTATTAATATAATTTTTTTATAATTAGATTTAATATTTTGAACTATTTTAAAAGACAAAACTGTACAAATGCTTCTATAGTATGTATTTTTTTTTTTTTGAGGTTTAGTCAAAACCTCGACTTTTTTGGCTTCGTGGTTCTTTTGACCTAGTTTCGTTGTGGATTTGGTTACTTGGTAAACTGAAATGACTATAATACCCTTGGGTATTTATTTTTTATTTTCTTTATTTTTTTAAAATTCTAAGCAGTTATATATTTATTAATAATTATTTTAATAATTAAAAAAAGAGGGACCACCTCTCTCTCTCTCTCTCTCTCTCTCTCTCTCAATGAACCTAAATGATGTTCCAAGGCTTTCACCAGAAGATATCGCCAGAACGATGGGTCAGACAACTGTGAAATATGATTTTGCAGATAGAGAATGGATCGGAAAACCCGGTATAACGATAGAACATTATACAGAAGGCGATTGCAGATCGTGAAGGAATCAAACTCTCATAGGGTCCGATCAAAACCCTCTTCCCCTACCCCCTTTAGTTAAAACCCTTTTCGATTAATGCCTCCCTCTTCTTTGTTCATTTTTTGTATGTAATCTCTTTTCATCTCTATTCAACGATTTGATGGGTTTGATGGATGCTTATGGTGGATTTGTATCTTTGTTACAGGTTTTCTGGTCTAGAAATGGTGAAGAAGACTGGCGGGGAAGAAGACGGAGTGGGGCTATTTGAGGACCAGATTGAGTTCAATTCATATAGGTACAACGCATGTGAAGATCGATGGTGGCGATCTCCGAACAAATCGTACATTATAGAAAGAAAAACAAACATTGTTATTATCTTCTTTCATCTGTGAAGATCGTTCTTCCCGCATCTTTTTATACCCTTAAACCATTCATGGAAATAGTTTAGCTTTAAAGTTGAAAGAATGAGGAATTGAATGATATAAGAAGAAAATGATGTGAAAGATTACTCAGTAAAGTTGCAATCCATGAACATAAAGTATGGTTAATGCCCACCAAGTGTCTAATGTTTTGTCTGAATGATCTTTCCATACTGCAACTTGTAGTTCTTAGTTATGTTCATTGATTTTCAGTAATTTGACTTCATAAATTTCTATTTTAAGCCACAATTTGGTTTTTAAATTTCTTGAGGCACTCGTTAAAGTACCTAAATCAAAAACGGGAGGTGGTGCACACACACAGAGAGAGAGAGGGCCCTCTTTTTCTTAATTATTAAAATAAATAAAAACTATTAGATTTTTTTTTAAAAAAATGAAAGAAAAATGAAAAATAAATACCCCAAGGATATTACAGTCATTTCAGTTTACTGAGGGACCAAATCCGCAACGAAACTACGTTAAAAGGACCACGAAACCAAAAAAAAAATCGAAAAAAAAAATCGAAGTTTGAACAAAACCTCATAAAAAATACATACCACATTGACCATTTTTGCAGTTTTGTCATTTTAAAATCATAAATATACAAGATATTTTTGTGTACTTTATCCTTTTTCGAATTGAAAAATCAAACGTTGCCTTGTGACCTTAATTTTTATTTATTTATTTTTTTTCTTTGGGTTTTTGTCGTAGAAACCCATCTAACATTTACATTTGGTTTTAAAAGACCAATATTGTTTTTGTTGGTCTTTATGGACCCCCAAACTCGAAAAGTACATGTCTCTCATACCCTTATTCATTTCCTTATTTATTTAGCCGGTAAAATATGTGACGTGGTCGTTGACTTAGGTGGTCAATTATTAATTGTGCCAAGTGTGTTATTCCAGAGTGTAAAAACTGGTAAATAATTTTAATTCATTTTCCTTAGTCATACGTCTTATAAGAAGACGAATGGAGATTTGAGCTAGGGTTTTTAACCATCTAAGCTACTGTTGAGATTACACTGCTGCTACCGAAGGTATTCTACTCTTTGAAGATTGTTTCACTGTTGCATGGCTGAGAACGATAACGAAGCTGTATATCTAAGAGTTCATCTACACTACAATGGTGTATTTGTTCGACATCCTTATGGGTATGTTGGTGGGAATCAGTTCCTCTTCACTGATGTTGATTGGGCAGGTATGGATGTAAGGGATTTTTTTGATTTTCTTTATAGAGCTATCGGGGAAGAGTTTCAAAACGTGTACTACTGCTTACCTAACATCCCTTTATCTAGAGGGATTCGTCCCATTGTAGATGATTTGGATTTTGCCCAATTTATAGATAGCAGGTATGAAAACGGGGAAATTTCAGTTTATGTTGATCATAATAGGAATGGGTTGGAGGAATGGTGGGATGCTGACATGAATTTGGTTGTTAGTGAAGATAATGAAAGTGGCCTTGAAGATGATGGTGTACCTATAAATGAAGAAAACACTGCCCCTGATGAAACCCATCCTAATGTAGGTCTTGAAGATGAAGTAATTGACATTGACAAAATACCTTTGAACAAGACGACTGGGGATGAGTTTCTTAGTAAGTTATGTCCTCCAGAAGGTGAAATTGGTGACAATGAAGTTGAAGAAGAAGATGTTGAGATCCATTACATTTTCAACCCTGATATGCAATGGAAGAGGCAAGTACCTGTTCTTGGGATGAAATTTAAAAGTCCAAAGCAGCTGAAAAATATGTTATGTAACTATGTTGTGGCAAATGGATACCAACTATGCTTCAAGAAGAATGACAGTAAAAGGTTGTTGGTTGTGTGTTGCAAAGGAGCTTGCCCATTTAGGTTATGGGCTACATGGATGAGACAGGAGGTGTCATTTCAAATCAAATCATTGAAGATTGAGCATAATTGTGCTAGAAACTACAAACTAGGATCAATTGTCACATACTATTGGATAGGAGAGCACTATACTAAGGAAATTTTGCATGGACAAAAGTTAACAATTAGACAATTGAGATTGGAGGTCGTCAGGAAGTTTGGAATACAGGTTTGTTTAAGTCAATACAGAAGAGCAAAGGCACATGCCATGAATCTTATTGAGGGGACCCTTATTGAGCATTATGCAAAATTATGGTCTTATGGGGAGGAAATTAGAAGAAGCAATCCAGGTTCAACAGTCAAAATGGATGTCCAATGCATGCCTGATGGTTTGAATTACTTCAGTAAGTTCTATGTATGTTTTGCTAATGTGAAATCTGGTTGGTTAGAAGGTTGTAGAAAGGTTTTAGGTATAGATGGATGTTTCCTTAAGGGTGTATGCAATGGGGAATTATTGTGTGATGTGGGTAAAGATGCTAACAACCACATATTTCCAGTTGCATGGGCAATAGTGTGTGTTGAGAATAAGGAAAAATGGATGTGGTTTTTGGAGTTGCTGAGAGATGATCTTGAACTAGGTATGGGCACTGGGTTCACCTTAATGTCTGACCAACACAAGGGTCTTATGGAGGCAGTTAAGGAAGTGCTCCCTTGTGTTGAGCATCGACAATGTGCAAGGCACATTGTTGCTAATTTTAATAAGAGGTTTGCAGGGGCTATTTTTGAGAACCTTTTTTGGAAAGCTTGCAATGCAACAACACCACCTCATAACACCACATTTAATAACACAACACAGGGGCGGTGTTCCAGCCGTTTTTAGGCGTTTTTAGGGTGCCACGTCATAAAACAGGAGTGGGTGTTGCCCACTCCTATTAGCCTAAAGGAAGTTTAAGGTTTAAATCATTATACATTTAAAAAATTATTAGTGTTTTGTGATTTATCGCCACACAATAAACCTTTTAACGAGTTTGGTGTGGGTCATTCAAAGGATATAGTTTACCCCTAAATTGGTAAAAATTCCACTGTGTTTCATAGTTTTTATAACATAAATAAGTTAGCGACCCTTATATATAATATATTAAGGTGGTATTTGTTTTTTAAAAGCTAATATGTCTACGGTCTTTGGAGTCAATATTACCGCCATAATCGTCCAACACCACCATTTCCATCTTTGAAAATAATCATTATCAAAAAATTAATAATGACTATATTCAAATTTGAAACAAAATAACCAAAAGAGAAAACAATCCAAAACAAACCAGAAAAAAAAATTATCAGGAAAGAAAAAAAGCAAATTGAAAAACAAGAAAAAAATCAAATCGGAAAAAAATGAAAAACAACAAATCGAAAACATAAAACAAAAGGTTTGAAAAGGGGGACAAGATTTGAAAATTAACAAGTATAAAGGTGTAACACTCCAATCCGGGTAATTACCCTTTATACCCTTGAAATGGTTTTTCGTTGCAATATTGGTCCCTTTCGTACGTTGGGTGTACTTATGGGTACGCTTAGCGTACCGAGGTGGAAAGATCGCCAAGGTGCAACACGTACTCGGGGCGTACAAGTTGGTACGCGAGGCGTACGTGGCAGATGGACAAACCCTAATATTTGGGAATGAGACCTATATAAACATCCTTAAGTCATTTGGACTTTCTCTTGTGAGTTGAGCAACTTTAGAGGATTAGATGGATAGATCTGAGCTTTTTGAGTCTTCTAGATGCATAAAGGTGCCATCTTGAGGGTTGTCTAGTTTCCATGCATGAGCTTGAAGTCTTGTATGAAGTCCTAATGTGAAGAATGAAATTTTGGAGTCCTTATGGCATGCAAGGGCATAAAGTTGCCAACTTTATGCCTTAGGACGTCTTAATGAGTTTAGATATGAGATTAGACGTTGAAATGCCATGTATTAAGCACTTAATGGTCGTGTTGCTTAACCTGCTTGTATGTCGTATGTAGTGTTGTGTACGCAACGCGTACTGCTTAAGGGACTAGTACGTTGAGCGTACTGAAGTGGTACGCAGGGCGTACGCACTCGGTTGGGTTTGGGCTTTGTTTGGGCTCGCAAGATTATTGTGCCTTATTCAGTTTTGGGCCTGGTCCCATTTAGAGTTTTGGGCTGATATTATGTTTTGGGCCATAGATGTTTTGGTTAGGCCTTATTGGGCCAAGCGGCCCATTAATGACTTTTATCTTGGATCTTGGGCCCATTAGCGAAGGGAAGACTTTTGGGTCACTAGGGAAAGAATTAGGCTTAGATGATTGGACTCTTTAATTAAGTTGTGTATAATCCTAATTTAGGGTTAATTGTATCATTGTTCTGTTGGATAAGGTGTCTAAGTCCATAACTTTATTTGGTATATACGTGACCCGACCCGGCATGGTCCATTTGGGTTGCACTTCACCCGAACTATTGTATGGTTAAACCTTTGAGAATTGTATGTTTATGATTTATTAATATATTATAAGTTATAATATGTTAATATGAAATCATATTATTTAATTAGTATTTGATCATAAATTAATTTATAATTAATTTGGTGATCAAAAAGATGACTAATTAAATATGGGATCTTGTATTTATATAAGTGTGGGCTAATACTCATTTGGAATGGGCTTGGCATGCATGGGAGTCCATGGATAGTCCATGGAGCTTTTAACCCATGGATCCTTGGAAAGGAAGAGTCATGGGTATTAGGGTTTACATGGATGTAACCCTAATTCCCCACACTATATAAAGGAGCTTATGATGCTTGAAATTGCACTCTAAGTGTGTGTGGAAGAAGGTGGCCGATTTCTACAAGCAAGCATACACTCTCATAGTTTTTCCAAAGTTTGTGGTGATTTGTGATTTCCATTTGAGGCATCCACATTATTGGTGCTTGGCTATCAAACTCCAAGGAATCAACTCATTATTGAAAGGTATGTAATTCTTCTAGCCTTTATGTTTAAAGTTCACCATGCCATGCTAGATAGGTTATGAACCTTGGAAAAACAAATTTGCATGTACTCATAGTAAAACATAGATCCAAGGTTTCTAGGGTTGCATGTACACCATAAGAGTGTTAGGATGCTCAAAACCCAACAGTGGTATCAGAGCCTAGGATTGTTTTCTTGAATACTTGATGCAAACTGTTGAAAAATCGAAAAATTGAGCTGTCTGGGCAGTGGAATCGCCGAGTCCATGGGGGGACTCGACGAGTCCAAGTGAAAATTCATCCTACTCGCCGAGTAGGTTCCTGCACTCGACGAGTAGGAGGCTCTGACTGCAGTTTTTTGACTTTTGCTGCTGGAAATGGACTAGAAACATTACCCTAAACTGTTTTGGTGTTTTAAAACTTGTTTTAGATGGTGTAATGGTTATGGTAATCCATTTACAATGGCTAATATCAAAATTCCATGTTTATATGTGTTCATATGATTCTTGAAGTTTTGATATGATATTCATGTTCTTATGAGTTATTGTTAGATCATAGGAATTACTTGCTAAATTGTTTAATGATTAATTCTTGATCAATTATGTGTTTTAATGGAATCCATAATTTGTCCTCAAGTTATGGATTTCCAAAGGTCACTTTCTTTAATGTACATTTAAAACACATAAGTTACATAAAAATGAAGAGTCTTCACTTTTATGAACCATTAACTCATAAGTTATGAAATGAAAAGTTTTGAATAGTTTCAAAAACTTGCCCTCAAGTTTTGGAATTTGTAAAGATACACACACTTTTATTCCAACCCTTAGGATTTTAAAAGTTAAAATTCAACCCTTATACTATTATAAGATTAATGGTTAATATTTATATATATGTATAAGATCAAGTCGTTTTACCGTTAGTAGGCCTTATTTACGAAGCTGGTTTATAAGGGGGGTATAAGGTTGTTGCCTATAAAATGGCAGCTTAATGGGTGTCCACTCTCACCCACCGCTTCCTTGACTGGTGGAGGGTCGTTAGCCGAACGGGTAGGACAATGACTTTAATTCTCATTAGAAGTATAATGATTATTATGAAGTAACTAAATGTTTTTTATAAATTCCCAATCTTAGTTACTTTAGGAAAATGTGAAAATGGTGCTAACCCATGAAATTCACACTTTGTACCTTACCAAGTCGTTGGTGGAGCGTGTGTGGTTAACCGGCACACTAACTTGGACTAGTAAGGATAACGAAGGGTGACTTAATGTTTATCATAGATCGGTGGAGCGCGTGTGGTTAACCGGCACATTGATTAGGTGATAATATTAAGGGTACCAAGTGAATTTGCATGGTTATTCACACCTTGTTTTGTGATCCTCGGCATCCCAGTCACAAAACTTGAAGGGCACAATCGAGATTGAAACATGCCATTGAAAAGTTCAATGAATCTCAAAAGAATCTATGAATTTAAAAACCAATTAAAACTTAATAATTTATTTCGTTTTCATGGTGGAAATTGGTGAATCGTCATTCACCTACCTTCAAATATGTTATAGCTTAGATTACGGCATCCCTCTTCTAAGTTATAATATATTGTGTTGGGTCCTAGCCTTAATATTACATTTGGGTGTCTTATTAAGGACTCTATATATCTAATCTAAACTTGTATTTCGTCTTTTCAGATGTCTTCCAACAACGCTTCGGGTTCTAACCCTACTGGCTCCTTCTCTCTCATGAACCTTTGTGGGAGAGTCATCTTCGATGGTTCCAACTTTATGGATTGGATCCAGAACATCAGGATGGTCACTCGTTACGAGGACAAGGAATATGTCCTCGACAAGGAGCTCAAGGAACTCGATGAGACTACTGATACTCTTGAGGAGATCGCTGAATACAGGATACATGAGAGAGATGCCACTAAAGTGGCATGCATCATGATGGCCACGATGACAGCCGAGCTCCAAAAGTCCTATGAGGACTATTACCCTTTTGAGATGCACCAGGACTTGATGGAAAGGTACCATCAGAGTGCTCGTCAAGAGCGGTATGAAATAATCTCCTCCATGATAACAACCCGCATGAATGATGGTGAACCCATCACGGGCCACATGCAGAAAATGCAAAGGTATGTGGACCGTTTGTTGAAACTGAATGTGAACTTCCCAGAGGAGTTGGAAATTGATATCATTTTGCACTCCCTACCCCTGTGTTATGATCAATTCCGCATTACATACCACATGAACAAGGAGAAAGTTACACTCAGCAAGCTTCAAGGACTTCTGAAGACCGCCGAAAGTGGTCTTAAAGGTAAGTCGGTTGTTACTCCTACTCCTACAGCAACCCCTGTTTTGGCTATCGGGCAAGGCAAAGGGAAGAAGAGGAAGCACCCTTTGAAGGGTACCAAGGGAAAGTCTCTTGATGGCTCCTCATCAAGTGGAACCAAATGTGGTTCTGCTACTCCTTCTGCCATCCATAAGGATGATGATTGCTTCTATTTCCAGAATAAGGGGCACTGGAAGCGAAACTGCCCAAAGTACTTGCAGGATGTCAAGGATGGGAAAGTGAAACCATCCCATGCAGGTATTTACACTATATTGTCTAATAACTCACCATATTCTAACTCTTGGGTCCTTGATACAGGTTGTGGTATTCACATATGTTCTGATTTGCAGGGCCTAAGAAGAAGTGAGGATGTGGAGCATGGGAAGATAAACTTAATCATGGGGAATAGGAAGGTTTCGCCTGTTACCAAGATTGGAGTTTATACTTTGTTGCTAAGTAGTGGGTTAAAGTTAGATTTGAATAAATGTGTTTACTTGTCTGAAATGGCGAGGAATATTATTTCTTTTCATGGTTTGTACAAATAAGGGTTTACCTTTTCGTTTGATAATGAATGTGGTAGTATTAATGCTTTCTTTAATAATGTTCTTTATTTTAAAGCATTGCCTTGTGATGGTGTGTATGAAACTGTGTCGGTTGTAGATAACCTAGGAAATAGTGTGTTGTGTATTGATTCCTCTACTAGCTTGGATAAAGCATCATTGTGGCATTGTCGTCTTGGTCATGTAAGCAAGAAACGCATAGGCCAACTCCAAAAGGATGGAGTCCTGGAATCATTTGACCTAAAGTCAGATGATAGTTGTGAATCTTGTTTGCTTGGGAAAATGACAAAATCACCCTTCACTGGTACTTGTGAAAGGGGTGAGGGTTTGTTGGACCTTATACATACTGATGTATGTGGACCCTTCAAAACCGCCACAAGTGATGCTAATCGCTATTATCTGACTTTTACTGATGATTATATTAGATATGGTTATGTCTACTTAATCAAGCATAAGTCAGAGACTTTTGAAAGGTTTAAAGAGTTTAAACAGGAAGTAGAAAATCAATTGGGCAGGAACATTAAGATGTTTCGATCCGATCGAGGTGGTGAGTATCTTAGTACAGAGTTCCTCGACTATCTTAAGGAGTGTGGGATTGTCTCACAATTGACACCTCCCAGGACACCACAACTGAATGGTGTGGCTGAGAGGCGTAATCGGACCTTGTTGGACATGGTTCGTTCCATGATGAGTCGAGCTTCGCTACCAATCTCTTTTTGGGGGTATGCCTTAGAGACTGCCGCCCATATCCTTAATCTAGTCTCTACAAAGAAGGTTGCCAAAACACCTCATCATATGTGGACTGGGAAAGTTCCCAACTTGGACCACATCAAGATTTGGGGTTGCGAGGCTTTTGTGAGGCGCGAGACTCACGATAAGCTCGAACCTCGAAGTGAGAGGTGTGTTTTCATCGGCTATCCACAGAAATCCTTTGGTTACCTCTTCTACAGACCCATTGAGAATGTGGTCTTTGTGGCAAGGAGAGGGGTCTTTCGTGAGAGAGAGTTCATAAGCCAAGGAAACAGTGGGAGGCAAATTGACCTTGAAGAAATTCAAGAGTCAAGTGGTGAAGGAACCTCAAACCCTAGCAATCAACCTGAGGAGGAAACTCCTGTTGATCCGACTGACGAGTCTGTACCTCTGAGGCGTTCCACGAGAGTTAGGAATTCACCTGAGCATTACTATGGTTTCCACATTACTACGGAAGGTGATACACTTATCATTGATAGTACACTGGTAAATCTGGATGAACCTAACAGCTACACGGAAGCCATGGCAGGCCCTGAGGCTACTAAATGGAAAGAGGCTATGGACAACGAGATACAATCCATGTATGACAATCAAGTTTGGAACTTGGTTGACAATGTACCAGGTCGTAAGACAGTCGGGTGCAAATGGATCTTCAAGAAGAAGACCGGCATGGATGGTAATGTACACACTTATAAGGCGCGACTGGTTGCAAAGGGCTTTTCTCAA